GGAAAGGTGGGTCGAAACGGCCCACACCCGAAACTACGCGTGCCAGTGTAAGAGTGGATTGTGATTATTCCCCTTATTTGGAATGATATTGAAATATTGATGTGATGAGATTATTCCCCTTAATTGGGATGATATTGATGATAGCTGTGAATTGGAAATGATGAAGTCGACCCACACGGCATATGTGGGAAGGCGGGCTAGCCGATCGGGTGGAGATCGGATGCCATGTCGTGCGCATTGTGGTTCCTAGTCTTGGTAACACCTTACTTTCTCATCATATGTCAATCCACATTGTTCGTGGAGAGATGTCCTAGCCGATCGAGTGTGATCGAACTCCGTGCTAAAAATACAGTGGTATATCAGTGCTAATGATCTCCTAACCAAAAATAATATTATTTTTGTATTTTGAAAATTATTATGTTTTAACTTGGCATTTGGATATCATTGATTTTTACTTGTTGCTTCTATGGTTTTCCCTTTCTTATATTGTCATTCTATTTCTAAAGAAGACATTTAGCTTCACATACTAGTACACATTTACTAATGTCCCTTTTTTCGGGGGTGATGCATCTTCAACGGATGCAGGTGGTTTGTCAGCGGGCAAATTTGATCCTCGTTAGCAGTTACTCTATACTCAGCAGGTTTTGGTGAGCCCAACTCTATTCCGGGCCTTATGTCACTTGACGTTGTATTTGTGTTTTGAGGTATAGCCGGGGCCTTGTCGCCGGCACTTCCATACTACTCTTCTGTTGTACTTAGAGGCTCCGTATACATGTTGCGGGTGGTGTACGATATTGGGTAATGAGTTAGAAGTGTTGGTATTTGACAAATATGTTTTTCCCTCATAATTATGAACTTGTAATATTTTGGAAATTGTAAAATGAATATCCTTTGAGTAATAAAAAAAGAATGTGGAACATTTTACCCTTCTTATGCTTATCTCTTGTTAATGGTTCTTTTATTGTTATTGGGTAAGGTTGGGTAGAAGGCATCAAGTAGGCTTGCTTGACCGGGTATCTCGGTTGAGCGTCGGTCGCGCTCCCCGAGGTTGGGGCGTGATAGGTTTGCCCCAGGCTTCGGGGCAAGGTAGTACAACAAGGCTATCAGCCAATGATCACTGCACCACCCGTCTAGTCAGCAAGAGGCGGGGGGCAGGTGGGTAGGGGTCTCCCTAGAGGTGGAGGCCAGCTAGGTGGCGCTTCGGCCAGATTCTATGCCTTTCTAGCCACACCAGATGTGGTAGCCTCAAACGCCATGATCACAGGTATTATTTCTATCTGTAGTAGGAATGCTTCGGTACTATTCGATCCAGGGTCTACTTATTCATATGTATCTTCTCTATTTGTTCCTTATCTGGATGTCTCCTGTGAGTCCTTGGGTGTTCCTGTATATATGTCGACACTAGTGGGTGGTTATGTTGTTGTGGATCAGGTTTACCAGTCCCGTGTAGTGACTTCTTGTGGTTATAAGAACAGAGCAAATCTTCTGTTGCTTGATATGACTAACTTTAGGGTTATCCTGGGTATGGACTGGTAGTCTGCGTACCATGCCATTCTTGATTGCCATGCTAAGACTGTTACTTTGGCAATGTCAGATTTGCCTAGATTGGAGTGGAGGGGCTCATCTATCAGTATATCTAGTCAGGTAGTCTCTTTCTTGAAGGCTCGACATATGGTTAAGCAGGGTTATTTGGCCTATCTGGCTTATGTTCGGGATACTACTGTGGAGACTCCCACGATTGATTCAGTGCCCGTGGTGCGAGAGTTCTCTGATGTATTTCCTTCTAATTTACCAGGCATGCCACTAGATCGTGATATCAATTTCAGCATTGATTTGGCACCAGTCACCCAGCATATCTCTATTTCACCGTATCGCATGGCTCCAAAAGAGTTGAGGGATTTGAAAGAGCAGTTTGAGGAGTTTCTCGAGAAGGGGTTTATCAGGCTGAGTGTGTCGCCTTGGGGTGCACCGGTATTATTTGTGAAGAAGAAGGATGGGATTATGTAGATGTGCATTGATTACCACCAGCTGAACAAATCCATTATCAAGAATAAGTACCCGATGCCGTGCATTAATGATTTGTTTGATCAGTTACAGGGTGCTAGAGTGTTCTCTAAGATTTGAATTGGGGTCTGGGTATCATCAGTTGAGGATTCGTACTTTGAATGTTCCGAAGACGGCTTTCCGGACTAGATATGGGCACTATGAGTTTCTAGTGATGTCCTTCGACTTGGCTAATGGCCGAACGAAGTTTATGGATTTTACGAATCGGGTGTTTAGGACATATCTTGAATCTTTTTTCATTGTTTTCATTGATCACATATTGATCTACTCACGCATTATGGAGTAGCACGAGCAGCAGTTAAGGATTGTGCTTCAGACCTTGCGAGAGAAAAAGCTATATGCTAAGTTCTCCAAGTACGAGTTATGGTTAGATTATGTGGCTTACTTGGGGTAGGTTGTATCAGGTGAGGGTATTAAGGTGGATCCTAGGAAGGTCGAGGCGGTTCAAAGTTTGCCTCATCCCACCACAGCAATTGAGATCGGGATTTTCTTGGCGCTAGCGGGTTATTATCATTAGTTTGTCGAGGGATTCTTGTCTATTGTAGCTCCTTTGACTAGATTAACCTAGAAGGGTGCTTAGTTCAGATGGTCCGATTATTTCGAGGTGAGCTTTTAGATGCTCAAGACCACATTGACTACAACACTAATGTTGGTGTTGCCCTCAGGTTCGGGGATGTATATTGTGAATTGTGACACTTCACGTGTTGGCTTGGGTTGTGTATTGATGCAGGAGGGGCGAGTTATTGCATATGCTTCATGTCACTTGAAGCCCCACGAGAAGAATTATCTTGTGCATGATTTAGAGTTGGCTGTGATAGTTCATAATCTCAAGATCTTGAGGCATTACCTTTATGTGGTGTCATGTGAGGTCTACACTGATCACCGCAATTTGCAGCATTTATTTAAGCATATGGATCTTAGTTTGAGGCAGCACAGGTTGCTTGAGTTACTAAAGGATTATGATATTACTATCCTCTATCATCCGAGCAAGGAGAATGTGGTTGCGGATGCGTCGAGCATAAAGACCGAAAGTATGGGTAGTTTGGCATTCATTTCAGCAGGGGAGAGGCCATTGGATTTGGACATTCAGTCCTTAGCTAACAGAATTGTGAGGTTGGATATTCCAGACCCCAGTCTAGTTCTTGTATCTGTTGTGGCTCAGTCTTCTTTATTCGAGCGGATCAAGGCTTGTCAGTATGATGATTCACACTTGCTGGTTCTTATAGAGACGGTGCTATGGGGTGATTCCAAAGAGGTCACTATCGGTGATGATGGTGTTCTTCGACTCCAAGGTCGCCTATGTGTTCCTTATGTTGATGGCCTGAGGGATACGATTCTAGTGGAGGTGCACAGTTCAGGGTATTCTATTCATCTAGGTGTCACGAAGATGTATCTTAACCTCAGATAGCATTAGTGGTAGAGGCGGATGAAGAAGGACATAGTTGAGTATGTGGCGAGATGTATAAATTGCCAACAAGTTAAGTATGAGCACCAGAGGTCAAGTGGCCTACTTTAGCAGATGGTTATAATGGAGTGGATGTGGGAGCGCATCACTATGGATTACATAGTTGGGTTTCCACGCACGATAAGGGAATTTGATTTCGTTTGGGTCATTGTCGATAGACTAATGAAGTCTGCACACTTTATTCTAGTGGCGACTACATAAACTTCAGAGAGGTTGGCTCAGATTTACATTCAGGATATCGTTTGGTTGCATGGCCTGCCTATTTCCATCATTTCAGATAGAGGCCCTCGGTTCACTTCACATTTCTAGAGAGCTGTACAAAGTGAGTTGGGTACCCGGGTAGAGCTCAGCATAGCCTTTCATTTGCAGACCGATGGGCAGTCAGAGCAGATAGTTCAGATTCTGGAGGATATGCTCAGAGCATGTGTGATCTACTTCAGAGGGCAGTGGGATCGATTCTTACCTTTGACCGAGTTTCTTATAACAATAGTTATCAGTCCAGCATCGAGATGGATCCATATGAGGCCTTATATGGTCTGTCATTCCCCCATCGGTTGGTTTGAGCCCCACGAGGCTAGGTTATATGGTAGTTATTTGGTAAATGTTGCCTTAGATAAGGTAAAGTTGATATAGGAGCGACTTCGTAGAGCTCAGTCCAGGTAGAAGAGTTACGCGTATCAGAAAGTGTGTGATTTATCATTTATGGTGGGCAAAAAGGTTCACTTGAAAGTCTCATCGATGAAGGGTATGATAAACTTTGGAAAGAAGGGAAAGCTGTGTCCGAGGTTCATCGGTCAATTTGAGGTGTTGGAGCGAGTTGGAGAGGTTGATTACAGGCTTTCTTTGCCTCCCAGTATATCAAAAGTTCATCTAGTTTTCCATGTGTCTGCTCCGGAGGTACCATGCTAGCAGGTCATATGTGTTAGATTACAGTATAGTTCATCTAGATGAGATCTTGGGGTATGAGGAGGAGATAGTTACTATTGTTGACAAGCAAGTCCGCAAGGTAATGTCTAAGAGGATTTCGACGGTAAATGTCCAACGGAGGGGCAACCAGTCGAGGAGGCGACTTGGAAGACCGAGGAGGACGTGCAGAGCAGATATGTGATGTGTCGTAGAAATGCTCGATACTAATTTCATTGACTTTAGATCATCTTTTAAAGCAATGTAAGTCATTTCTTAATTTGTTTGGTGTTTTGCAGGAAACCAGACTTGAATTTCCAAGAGCATGAAAAAGATGACAAAAACCAGGAATAAGGAAGGTTTGTGACAGATATACGATCGCAGAACTGGTATGCAAGCCCCAGAACTGGTCGGCGAACCGCAGACCTATTTCAAATGTAACCAAGCTATGTCAGTCTTAAGAGTCAAATATGTGGTTCACTATGCGGTCGCATAACTCATTTGCGGACTGCGAAGTTTCCGCACAAATGCAAGAGGACCTCCAGTGAAGATTAATATGCGATTCACTATGCGGCCGCAAAATCATTATGCGGATCGCATAATCAGTATGCGAGAGATATCTGGGAAGCTTGCTGATCAGATCTGCGGCATTGCTAAAGTTGTGCGGACTGCGGATTTGTTCCGCGGTCGATTCTGCGGTTGCATACTAAATCTGAAGGATTATTTTTGTCACATTTTGTCCGCAAAAATAGAATAAATAGGGTTTGTGGGGGCATCTGGTCTGAAAAATAGCCTAAAATTAGGCTTTTATGACTTTATTTATTGCTTTGTTCTTGTATTCTAGTATGAGTAGCTAACTTTAAATACTAAGGTTGTGGACACTTAGTGTCAATGGGTGTTTACCATTGAATATATATATATAATGGGTGGCTGATTTCTATTCTTTTCTCATGCTTCATTTTGCAAACATTAACTAGTGCCAATTTGCTTTATCTTTCACTTGGAAAAGTGGGTTAGGGTTTGGTTAGAATTGAGTAGCAAGAAGTCAAGGCTTTAAACCTTGTTTAATATAATCGCTTAGGAATAAGTGGGTTCTACTTGGCATAAACTGGATGTTCTTAATTGTAACTCTTTAATATTTGGAAAAATCATAAAGAGGAAAAACCACCTAATTATTGGAAAATATTGGGTAGTTATTTAGGAACTATTTGCATATCAAAGGACCTCCCATTAGAAATATATCATATTAACACCGACAACATTATATTCCATTAACAGGGACACAACCTTGGTTTCTTAATCCTTTTAATCAATTCTCTTAACAAAATAGATTCTCTTAACAAATCACAATTACCAAACTCTTTTCAAACTAACGGAATAGAATTACGGCTTTAGTCGAGTGACACACTATTCAAGTAACCTTTTCACACCTATTCCCAGTGGGATTCGACACCAACCTAATTGGGTTATTATATTTGACATCGATAGCTTTACACCATTTATGTAGGTGCAATTTGAGCATATCAAATTTGGCGCCGTTTTCGGGGAATACGGTTTTGAAATTACTAACTAGTGTGTGCTTTACTTAACGTCTTCTTCTATTCCATCACACTTTGCTTGCTTTGGTTGGTGTCACTAGGTAAGTATGGGCGAGCCGGATATTGAGAATGTGTTTGCCGATATAGATGAGTATATTGAGGATACAAACGCCATTGTCCCTCCTAGAGTTGATGTTGCTACCTTCAACGTGGAACATAGTCTAATCCTAATGCTAAAGGAGGTGGGGTTCTTCCGAAATTCCGCCGACGATGATCAGAAACCTTTTCGGTGTGTGTGCAATGCATAAGAAGAGGCATATTTCGGATGATGCCCTAAGGTTAAGGGTGTTCAAATACTCTATAGACGAAGAGGCAAAACAATGGATCCAAAATTTACCTCCTAACTCCATCCACACTTGGACCAAACTTGTGCAAATTTTTCTAGCTAAATGGTTCTCACAAAATAAGAAGTCCGAGCTTTGGGACAAAATTTTCTTCTTCAAGCAATTACCGGGGGAATAGCTACATGAGGCATGGGCTAGATTCAAGTTGTCACGCCCTGGCCTTGGGGAGCGTGACCGGAACTCAATCGAGATACCCCGGTCAAGAAAGCATTTACAATACCTTTCTACCCAACTCGCCCATGAATAAAGAAAAGATACATTTATATCATTAATTAAACATTGAGTGGATTCCATGAACAATGCCAATTACATTACCATTAGTCACTTCATTTTATAGTCTCAAAATACATACACAATCATAGTTAAAGGGCAACAAGTGATTCAAATACAACAAGGCTAGTTTGACATTCCCAACTCCCATATACAACCCACATTGTGTCTACGAAGCCTCTACGGATACAAAATACTATGATAACGCCGCCAACAAGGCTCCAGCTATACCTTAAAATATAATACACGTGGGACAAAAGATACACGACCCCGAATGAAGTGGGGCTCACCAGATCTACTGAGAAGAGGGTGTACTGCTATCAATGATCAATGCCACCTGCTGCGGAAGCACCTGCATCCATTAAAGATGCAGCGCCCCCGGAAAAAAGGGACGCCCCCGGAAAAAAGGGACGTTAGTACGTATAGAATAGTACTAGTATGTAAGACTAAACACCCTCTCGTTAGAACGAATGATACCACAAGGAAGGACAACCATAAATCACTGGAAGCCTCAGACAATAATAAAACATCAAATTAGGAGCAAGATAAGTGTCAAGTAAATTTTCATTATTTTAGGTTAGGAGATCTTAGCACCGATATACCACCGTGATTTTAGCACGGAGTCTGATCTCGGCCCGATCGGCTAGGCCGTCTTACTCGAAGACATCAACCATAATCACAATCACTATCACAGTTCCAATCATTATCTCGATCATAATTTTTAGCACAATCACCATCATGTGTTCGGCATGGCGTCCGATCACGACACGACCGGCTAGGCCGTCTCACCACAATGCCGTGTGGATCGACATCACCCTTTTCTAGCAATCATCTCATCCCAATAAAAGGGGAATATTTCATCACATCAATCTCGCCCCAAATTAGGGGAATAATTACAATCCATTCCAACACCGACATGTGTAGTTTCGGAGAATTTCAACCTACCCTTCCTTAGTGACTAACAATACACCCAAAGCGTTTGTTATTAAGCGGATTCACAACTCATTTCAACATCTTTTAAACGTTTCTTAGTTTCATTGGCACTAGTGGCCCCAAATGTAATATCATTCTTGGCACATTGGCTGTATTTCATGTTTCATGCTCTGCTCACCTCTTTCACTTTCAAACATCATTAAAGATTATTAACCAAAAGAAAATTTATTCAAGACTTGAGTACACATGTGAGCAAGTAAGAGTCTTAAGCACATTGAGAATTCTTACACAATTTGGCATAATAGTTTTCGCTTGAATCACGACTTGAAGTTATAGCATTTAGACATGCAACCCATACTTTGAACACATTCCCAGTAACAAAACATAACAGGAACATTCGGATTATATATTAAACACATATATCTTTTGACACAAGGCTTATTTGGAATAATCAATTTATAATGAGTAACTCGGGACTTACAAGGACATTGTGGGGTTTAATTCTAAGGAGAAGTTTAGCCAACATACCTCGCTTTAAGCTTTCCTTAATCCACTATACAGTTCCGAAAATCCTAGCAACTTTGATCTATTTAGATATGTAGCAAAATTGAACACAAATTAGGATGGAGGTCATGGTTCCAGTTCATTTGAGCATTTTATCAAACACTTGGTGGGTATTGTGATTTCAAGGTCCTCCTATAGTGGATTCCTTTATTCCACTACCCAAAGTCTATCTAATTTAGCTCAACATTCTTCCCCCAACCCTTGATAGTACATGCATGCATAGTGGACAACTCCCACACCCAAGAATTCCTTTTCTCATTCCCTATTTTCAGTAAAATCACGAAATTGAGGGTGAGGGAGTAGAATCTTACCTCTAGGATGAATACCTAGTGAATATTTCTTGTGAATTCTTCAACTTTGAGCAAGCGTTGATGACCAATAGGCTTAGGAACTTCCCTTCTCACTCTATGGCACTCCCTCTCTCTACAAATATCAGATTTTTGCTTCAAAAGTGGTCCTTTACTTCAATATATCGAAATAGGGTCGGGTCAAAAAAATTAGAAAAATGAAGCCCCGATGCAGATCTGTGATCGCATATGCGACAGCATAACGCCTCTGCGGTACGCAAAATGGACTGCATAATGGCCCTCCAAAACTGGGCACTCCTGCCTTACTCTGCGATAGGTCTGCGGCCCGCAGACCTATTCAACGATCACATAATGCGCCGCAGAACTTCCCTTAGGAAGTTTTTATGTTGGATCTGCGATGAGTTATGCGGCCCGCGAAATGATTATGCGGCCGCATAATGGTTCAAAAAATTTCCCCAAGTTTCTACTTCAGTTTACGGTAGATCTGCGGTCCGCAGATCAGTTTTGCGACCGCATAATGGACCAAATCATGGGTTTCTGGAAACTATTTTGTTGGAGAAGTTTTACATGGGTTTGGATCCTAGGAATCAATCCATAGCCAAAAATGCGGCAGATGGATCGTTCATGGATAAAACATTTCCAATGGTCGCTCAAATCCTCGACAAGATGGCAAAACACAACCAAGCTTAGAATTCAGAAGATACCACGAGCGGAATCTCATATGGTACTCATTATTTAACCAACATGGTTAAGGATAATCAAGAAATATATCAATTAATTGCCGTTCTTGCAACCAATGTCAATGTGTTGACAAAAATGTTCACTGAAAGCCAAACAAAGAAAGTGAATCTTGTGGAATATGTGCAACCAATGTCAAATGAGAACTACCAACACCAAGAAAGCCAACAACAAGACTATCCTCCCATGTAATATTAAGAAGAAAATTATGTTAACAATTTACAAGGATGATATCAAAGACAAAATTACCACAGATCGGGACAACAACACCAATGGAGACCTAACCCGCAAGGGCAAGGTAACCAACAATGGACAAATGACCAACGTAGTTATAATCAAGGAAATTGGAGCAACAATAACAATAATTTTACAAACCGGAGTTCAAGCCCCTATGTTCCACCAAAAGGGTAATATTCTAACTCTCAACATTGGAAGGAGAATTCTTCAAGCGATTCCAAGTTGGAGAAAATGCTTGAAAGAGTATTTCAAAATCAAGAGAGGTTCGACACTTCAATGAAAAATATGACTTAGCTTTTGGGTTTTCACACCGCATCTATTCAAAAGTTGGAGATGCAAATGAGGAATTTCACAATAGAACAAAACCTGAAGTAAAAAGGTACACTCTCAAGTGATACAATTGCAAACCCAAAAGGTAGTGGGGGTAGCCCAACCTCTCATTGTGTGGCCAATACAACTTGAAGTGGAAAACTACTTCAAAGTGAGAGTAAACGGGAGGTCGAAGTGGAAGATGTTGAACAAAAAGATGAGGCGCAAGTTGAGGTGCCAAATATTGTTGAAGTTGAGAGAATCCCAAAGAAGGTGAAAGCTCAAGATGTGATCCATGAAAATGTTGAGCAAAAAGTAATAGAGGCACCAAAACCTCTAGCATCGATTCCTAGACCTTCTCATCCATTTCCTTAAAGACTAGCTAAAAGGGTTGATGATAGCAAACTTGAGAAGTTCTATGACATCTTAAATCAATTATCAGTTCCATTTGTGGAAGCATTTCAAGAGATACATGGTTTTTCTAAGTACTTGAAGGACTTAATCACTAAAAGGAAAACCATCAATAATGAAGTGGTGAGTGTCACCCACCGGGTTAGCTCCATCATTGCAACAACCGCCGTACAAAACAAAGAGGATTCGGGGGCTTTCACTATTCCATGTACTATTGGATTGCATGACTTTGCACAGACTCTTTGTGATAATGGGGCTAGCATCAACTTAATGCCTCTTGCTATCTACAAGCAATCCAGATTAGGAATGCCTAGGCCTACGAGTATGAGGTTGCAAATGGCAAACCGTTCGATAAAGCGACCGGTGGGGATAGTGGATGATGTGCTTGTGAAAGTGGGGAAGTTTCTCCTCCCCACCGACTTTGTTATTATTGATTGTGTTGTTGATAAAGAGATCCCTATCATCTTAGGGAGACCATTTCTTGAGACTGGGAAAGCACTCATGGACTCGAAAATAAATGAGATTAAATTTCGAGTTAATGACGAAGAAATTACCTTTCAAGCAAGTTAGGGTATGAAATTGCCAAATCCGTATGAGAGTATCTCGGTACTTGATGTTGTTGATGTGGTAGAGGATGGCGTTGAGGTAGTTATGGAAGAGTAATGCATTGGTGAGGCATTGGCGGCAATTTTGATGAATTTTGATGGTGAGGACATAGAAGGATATGTGGAAATGGTGAATGCATTGGAAGGGCTTGGTTCCTACACTTATGCACCAAAGAAGCTTTCTCTTGACTTGGAGAATAGAGCCACTCCTCCCGCTAAGCCTTCAATTGTCGAGCCTCCACAACTTGAGCTCAAGCCACTTCCACCACACTTAAGGTATAAATTTCTTGGCTCTAATGAAACTCTACCTGTAACTATTTTGTCTTTGCTAAATGATGTGCAAGTTGAACAATTATTGGAGACCTTGAGGGATCAAAGACGGGCCATTGGTTGGACTATAGCAGATATCCAAGGGATTCCCGCCGGTATTTGTGAGTACAAAATCCAACTAGAGGAAGATAGCAAACCTAATGTGGAGCATCAAAGGTGGTTAAATACCTCCATGCAAGACGTGGTAAAGAAAGAAATTATAAAATGGTTGGATGTCGGTGTTGTCTACCCTATTGCCAATAGTCCTTAGGTGAGTCCGGTGCAATATGTGCCAAAGAAGAGAGGCATGACCGTGATTCAAAATGACAAAAATGAACTCATTCCAATGAGGACGGTGACCGGATGGAGAGTTTTCATGGAATACCGAAAGCTCAATAGTGCTACTTGCAAAAACCATTTTGCTTGATCGGCTAGTGGGAAGGTCGTTTTATTGCTTCTTGGATGGTTACTCTCGCTACAATCAAATCAACATAGCCTTGGAGGACCAAGAGAGGACGACATTCACATGTCCGTATGGGACCTTTGCTTTTAGCCGGATGCCATTTGGGCTATGCAATGCCCCGGCTACCTTTCAACGGTGCATGATGGCAATTTTCTCGGATATGGTGGAGGATTTATTGGAAGTATTTATGAATGACTTCTCTGTAGTTGGTTACTCCTTCAAGAATTGCCTTGATAATCTTAGGCAAGTACTCAAAAGATGCGAGGACAAACCTTGTGCTCAATTGGGAAAAATGTCACTTCATGGTGGACGTGGGTATTGTTCTTGGCCACAAAAATCTCCAAGCAAGGCATTGAGGTTGATCGATCAAATATTTAGGTAATTTCCAAGATTCCTCCTCCCACTTCGTTCAAAGGTGTTCGGAGCTATTTGGGGCATGCCGCTTTCTATCGGTGATTTATCAAAGACTTCTCAAAGATTGCAAGCCCCATGTGCAAGCTCCTTGAAAAGAATGCTAAATTTGTGTATGATTAGAAGTGCCTTATGGATTTTGAGGAATTGAAAGCATGGCTCACCACAGCACCTATTATTGTTACACCCGATTGGTCTCTTCCATTTGAACTTATGTGTGATGCCAGAGGTGTGGCTATTGGGACAGTGCTTGGTCAACGACACAACAAGATTCTTCATACTGTCTACTATGCAAGCAAGACACTCAATGGCGCACAAATGAATTACATCGTAACTGAGCAAGAACTACTTGCCATTATCTATGCTTTTGAAATATTCCGGGCCTAGAGGCAGAAGATATCCATCCTGGCAACACTCATTACACAGCTTAGATCAATTTCCTTAGTGTAGTGTACATCTTCTGTCTCCAGTCTTATGAGCAATTCCTAGATTTGTAGTAGACATGGATGAAAACTTGTAATCTAGGATTAGATTTATATTCAAAAAGTAGTTGGTCCACAACTACTTGGCATTGTACAAATATATTTTTGATTAATACAATTTGACTTTTAATTAAAACAAATCTGGGCTTATTTGTTGGCATCCAAGTTGATAGTCTACACCGATCATGCTGCTCTCCACTATCTTATGGAGAAGAAGGATGCTAAACCGAGATTGATTAGGTGGGTCCTTTTGTTACAAGAGTTGGACTTTGAAGTCAAAGATTGGAAAGGAACAGAAAATTAAGTTGCGGATCACTTATCTAGGCTTGAAGAGGCAAGGAGACCAAAAGAAGATCTTGAAATTAATGACGCCTTCCAAGATGAACACCTTTTGGAAATATCTATCACTTCAACCCCTTGGTATGCCGACATAACTAACTTCTTGGTTAGTGACCTTATCCCCGACGAATTGGAAGCTTATCAAAAGAAAAGATTCTTGCGGGATTGTAGGCAACACTATCGGGAGGAACCCTTTTTATTTCGGATTTGCACCAACAACATCATTCGGTGTTGTGTTCCAGAAGAGGAGGTGACGCCAATTCTCAAAGCATGTCATGACTCTCCAGTTGGGGGTCACCACGGTGGAAACCATACAGCGGCAAAAGTGCTTGAATATGGCTACTATTGGCCATCGATCTACTAAGATACAATCTAATGGTCAACACATGTGATCAATGTCAAAGACAAGGGTCAATTTCTAGAAGGCATGAGATTCCTATGAATTTTTGTGATGGAGGTAGAGATCTTTGATGTGTGGGGGATAGATTTCATGGGTCCCTTTGTAATCTATTATGGCATGACGTATATCTTGGTAGCATTGGATTATGTCTCAAAATGCGTCGAAGTAGTTGCCTTGCCAAACAATGAGGCAAGGAGTGTAACCGCCTTCTTGAAGAAGAACATATTTATTCGATTTGGAATCCAAGGGCCATCCTTAATAATAGTGGTTCTCACTTTTGCAACAAATGCTTTGCGGGGCTGCTCGAGAAATATGGAGTTAAGCACAAGGTGGCCACCCCTTATCATCCTCAATCGAGTGGTCAATTTGAAGTCTCTAACCGATAAATCAAAAATATTCTAGCAAAAACTGTTAATGCAAACAGGATCGATTGGTTAAGAAAGCTAGATGATGCTCTGTGGCTTATCGGACCGCATTCAAAACACCTATTGGAACATCACCTTACCGGCTGGTTTTTGGTAAGGCTTGTCACTTGCCAGTCGAGCTAGAACACAAATATATATGGGCGTTGAAAAAGTTAAATCTTGACTGGGCCGAAGCTGCTAATCTAAGGATGACACAACTCAATGAGATGGAGAAATTCCGTTTCCAAGCCTATGAAAATTAAGCCTTGTATAAAGAAAGGATGAAATTTGTTCACGATAACAAGATCTTGAAGCGGGAATTCAAATCCGACGACTTGGTCCTACTCTTCAACTCAAGGTTGAAATTCTTTCCAGGCAAACTCAAGTCCAAATGGTCTGGCCCATTCAAAGTTGTTAGTGTGTCCTCCTACGGCGCTATTGAATTAGAGTATGAGGATAGGAATCGAACCTTCAAAGTAAATGGCCAAAGGGTGAAGAACAACCTAGGAACCATTGGAGAAAGGAAACTGGTGGAACAATTCAAACTCAAAGATGGTCCTGTACCAACCTCCACAACTGATTAGCTAAAAAGTAGTAACATCGTTGTGCCGCGAAGTTTAATCAAGCGCTTCTTGGGAGGCAACCCAGGTGTTAGAAATGTTTTTGGTTAGATTTTTATCTTTGTAGGTTTATTTGTCATTGTTGAACATATGCGGCCGCGTAACGGGTTCGCGTAAAGAAAACTGGTCGCAGACATCATCTGACCATCATGAAAACAAGCTCTTCAAAATGCAGAGGAAAGCCAATTTTCACAGAACGCAAAATATTTCTTCGACCGTAGAGGAAACCGCAGATTGGCTACACATACTCCAGGTATTAGGTAATCGCATAACACCTCTACGATCGCAAAAAGTGTTATGCGATGATAACTGTACCATAGACTGCCAGGTATTACACCTTCAGTTCTTTTGTCACCATCTCACTTTGAACCCTCCTCCGCTAAGCACACACACAATAAAACAAAAAGAAAACAAGATAAAAATAGAAAATAAAAGAAAAGATTGAACAATTAAACTCACCTTGCTCAAAAAATTAACTTCCAAGTGGTTTGCGCAACCTCCTCACTGATCTGGTACGAAATTCCCCCCCCCCCCCCCCCCTCTTCTTGCTCCGGTGATTTGATATTTACTTGCATCAGTATTCCCCATCCTCCATGATACCATTCTCTCTACTTTTTCTGTGTTTCATATAATGGGTGATCAATTTGGGGGCAGATTGTTAGTTAAAATCAAAATCTTTGGGCTAAGTCTAGGGTTACTGATTTGAATTAGTGGGTGTCGTGATTTCTTGCAATCCACAGTGGGAATTTTTAGGCTGAACATAAATTGATCTAAAGCTGAGAGTTGTGTATACGTTTTGTGAAATTCTGCACTGTCTGTGTAGTATGGAGAGAGTGATTTTTTTTAAAAAAGATGGTTGTCTTTGAGTCTATTTTGTGTGGAGAAGATGATTTCTACGGTGCCGCATAACTGATTTGCGGTCCGCAAAATCATCGCATAACTTGTTTTCTTGTGTGCTTGTGCGGTCTCGAATCTACGGTTATTTTTGCGGCCGCAGAATTGATCTATGGACCACAAATCAGTCGTAGAGATCAATAGGTGCAAGACAATTTTCAAGGTTAGAATGCGTTCGATCTGCGGTCGCAGATTAGTTCTGCAACTGCTTCTACGGTCTACATATTGTGTTGCTCTTAATATGGTGCATTCTGTGGTGCACTTTGCGGTCCGCATATCTGTTCTATGATCACAAATGTGCCACGCAGAAGGTGTTTTTCCTTTCATTTCTTTACCATGTTCTACGAATGTTCTACCATATGTTCACTTCACTTTTATTGGCAAGAATGGCACCAAAGAAAACCCAAGAATCTACAGCACCTACCACGCGAGGAAAGAGACGGGCTAGAGCTATAAGTCCACAATCACAGCAACCCCAACGCAAAAGGCCTGACATATCTGGTAATTCATCTGAGCCTGTCTCACAGTCTGAAGAAGAGGAGGCACAACTTGACTTATTGCCACCATTTGATCTCCAGGCCAAAGCACATAGAAAGAATGTTGAGGATATTAGGTGTAACATCACTGACTCTTGCAATAAATA